AGAATCGGTTTGGGTTTTGAAGAAACCAGGCTGGAAGATATCAAAGAGATTTTTACTCTTACCAGGAGTAAAAGCAAAAAATTTACTTTTTTTGAAAGCTGAAGTTTTGAAATTGAAAAAGCTGTTCAGCTTCCTGTACGGTGCTCTTAGCAGGTTACTTTTGTAGGCAGAGCAGTTGGCACACGTAGGGAACAACCACCAAGGTAAGCTTTCGGTTTCATTCCCTGCCGTCACGTTATTAGGTAAATGCAAAATCAGAACAGAATTGTTTCCAGGGGGACTAAAGAAAAGGCAGCAAATGGTGTCTTTGGTGTCTTTTTATCTCAAGGGCACTTTGCTTGGGATTAAAAGCTTGGATTAAGTCCCTGGTAGAAGCTAGCTTTGTTTTAAAACACACCTGGAAGATGGGAAAAGAGAGCTCCAGCAGACACTTGAATGGAGAGGACACTGTCTTGCAGGAAAAAAGTAGCATTTCGTAGTTATTATCCGTGCCTTGGAATTACCTTGGCTGTAATCACAGCAAACCAGACGAGGCGTACAGAGCTCGGGGAGCGACGGGGTTGTAGCACGGTAACAGCCTGAGCTTGCGGACGGGTTTGAAGAGGAAGAAAGATTTGGACTGCTGGTGGTTTTACAGAATATGTGTAGCTGCGTATTAAAAAGGTTCTTTCTGCCTCATACGGAGAAATGGAGCAGCTTTATTGTTTTGAGGAAGATGAGTTTGTACAGCCAAAGATATCAGATTGGAAAAATTATTTTCTTTTAAAGAAGAATATTAAGTTTGGAAATGCTTCCTAAACAAAGAGTGAAAAGTTAATGTCAAATAAAATAAGCTAACTTTTTCTTAAAAAGCTAAATCTGTTGAGTGCATATGTTTCAAAGAAAAGATTTCATAAAATAAGCTGCCAAATAAGATAATTTGGTTTTGGGTTCTCTGCCTTAGTTTTTTCAGAACTGTAGTGGACATTAAATTATGTTGAGCTTAAATCTCCAGAACACAAAATATCTTTTCATTTCTGGGGATGAGGTTGCATTTAAATTAAAATTGCTATTTCAAGTTGACATTGCACGAGCTACAAACTACATAAAGCTCGAGGGAACCTTGGTGCTAAATAAATACAAATGTTGAATTGCTTCCCCTTCATCTGGCTAAAGCACTGGGAGTTTGCTGCGCTCTCTCTGCAGAAGGCACGCAGCCGAGTCACGGGAGTGTGTTTCACGAGTGAACTTAAAACACGTTTGCCCCCGATTACAAAGCCAGTGCACGTCTTCTGCGGCGAGAATCAGGGAAGGAATCTCAGTGCAGAAGCGTTGCTGGGGAGGGAAGCGGTAAAGAGGAGCCCGTGGCCGGGGCTGTGGTGGTACGCAGCCGCTGGGAGAAGCGGAGACAGTACCAACGTTATCCAGCAGCCCACGGAAGTCTGCGCCCAGGCAGCGTTTTATTTTTCTTTGAATTTGCAGAGCCCCTGTTTTCAGCAGCTCTTAAGAACGCCTCCTCCCAGCTCGAACTGTTTCGAGGTGGACCGAGTAAAACGCAAAGGTTTCTGTCCTTACTGAATAAGAATATGACAAAATCCCAGTTCAGTTCCCCGTGTTTCTTACGGCACAGTCTGGCAGTGGGAACCCCGGAGCTGCGTACGGGTGCTGTTTAATAAACTTAACCGCCTCTTTCCAGGTAGACAATCGGAACTGGAAATAAATGGTTAATTAGATACTGTGTACAGTGTTGTTCTTTCCTTATCGCTCCCACAAAACGGCTTTGAAACTAGCGGGGAAACGTTGCTTGAGATAAACTTTGATAAACTTCTGACTTAAGGAAATCCCACGGTGAGGTGAAGTCGGACCAATGTAAAAAATGCCCTGTCTTCTGTCTGAAACGGGCCGTAGATCCCGGCAGAGCTGGGGCGTAGCAAGCACAAGTGTCGAGTTATTTGTTCGGTGTTTTCTGAGGCTTATACGCTGGGTGTGCATTTAGAGGCATCTGGCTTGGCGCGTGCAGGGAATGGTGTCGCTTGGACAGAACTTGAAACGAAGCAAAAAGAAACACAGAGGAGGAAGAAAGAAACGGGGAGTCTTGGGCACCTCGTAATAAGGACATTCCATTGCAAACTGTAATAATAAATTTCAGCACAAACTTCCACTACGGCCTTGAGGCACCTGCTGAGGAGGAAGAAAGAAGGCAGTCAGAAAACTGTGCAGATGATGTCTAGGAGACAGGGATGCTGCTACTGGGAATGAGAATTTTGCTGCTGGGGGGACGCAGATGCTGGGCAGAAGCAGCTTGGACGTGGGAGTGTGGAGAGCCGTGGCAGGAGGGAGAAGCGGGTGCTCTGAGTTGGGGCAGGGGGAC